ATTCAGTGGTGCTGTGCCTGCCTTGCAACTTCAAGGTCCTGAGTTCTAGCCCTGGTACTGATACAGCAAGACTGAAGGGTCCCAGGCACTCTCTGCCTTCTTCTGGTTGGAATGTCATCTCCATAGAGAAGCCCCGAGTAGTTATGACTATAAAAGGAAAAGAAGCTGACCAATTGCAGGACACCAGCACATGCCTCTTGGTCCTTCTTTTCAATCCTGGCCTTCCTTCCAGCCATCATACCCCAGGGAAAAGAATGAATAGAGGGGAGGTAGCTCACTGTTTCTCATAACCCTTAGGCCGTAACTTTCTCTTCTCCCATTCTTCTTTTATTACACCTAAAAGTCCACTTCCCCTCCAGATGAGAGATATCTTGTTTAAATATTATAATATACATGAACCCAGGACAGGTATGTTGCCTCCCTCTTGTAGAGACAGAAATAAATCCTTAAATAGGCAACCAAAGATAAAATAAAAAGAGCAATAAGTGTTGCCAATGCAAACACATCTCAGTGATCCTACAATTTTTCCGCAACAAAGACAATGCCCCCTAAGGCCTGAAATTAAAAGAAGCCTATTGCCTATGGTCAAAAACTTAAGGACATAAGATTTACTTAACTCTGTAATAGGCCCTGGAACATTTCAATCTTGAGAGTTAAAAAACCCAATAGAGAGTAGAGCTTGGAAAAGGACTTTAGATTGGTAAATGGCAGTAGGGCCAGTCCACTCAGTGATACATAACCATACGCTCTCCTTTCCCACATCCTGGAAGATGCCACTTGGTTTTCAGAGTTAGATTTAAAAGATACCTTTGTTTGTACTCCTTTACATACAGATTCCCAGTTTCTTTTGCCTTTAAAAATCCTCATGACCAGGCCTCTCAGCTGACGTGGACTCTCCTTCCTCAAAGGTTCAGAGACAGTCCTCATCTCTTTGGGCAAGTGCTTGCTTTCCTATGACTTGGCATGTTTTAAATTTTCCCAAGTCATGGTCTTGAAATATGTAGATGATATACTGCTATGTGCCCCCTCAGAAGAGCTCTCCAGCCTAGGCACCCATGCTCTGCTGAATTTTCTAGCAGACAGAAGTTATAAGCTCTCTAGGTCTAAGGCACAACTTTGCAGCCTTGAGGTAAAATATTTAGTCCTTATCATATCTAAGAGAACCCAAAGGAAGAGAGAACTACACCAATACTTTCCTTCCTGTAGCCCAAGGTCCTAAAACTCTTGCAATGCCCAGGAATTACAGGGTTTTGTTGCCTTTGGATAGCAGGGTATAGCAAGATGGCATAACCCTCCCTCAGCTTATCAAGGAAGCCCCAGAATATCCATATTTTAACCTTGGAACCTGATTCCCAAACTGCATTCCAGAAGCTCCAACAAGTGCTTATGCCTTGGCATTGAACCTACCAACAGGACACTGTTTCAATCTGTATGTTGATGAAAGGCACGGCATGGCTTTGGGAGTGCTTACCTGGTCAACAGCCTGTGGGATGTATGAGTCATGGTTTAGACATTATAGCAAAGATATGGCCTGTGTACCTCAGTGCTGTGGCTGCTGTAGCTCTCCTGCTACCACAGGCAGCCAAGCTGACTTTAGTCAAAAGTCTCACTGTGCACAGACCTCACAGTGTAGTAGGACTTCTTTCTTCCAAAGGGAGCCTATGGCTATCAGACAGTCAACTCCTTAAATACTAGGCTTTACTGTGAGAAGGACAAGCCATTCAAATAAAGAACATTCCTCCTTAAACCCTGCTACCTTTCTATAAGGAAAAAAAAATTTTTGGAGGTGAAAAGACATGACTGCAAACAGGTCATTTAATTGCCCTAAAATTAGATGGGGTGCCCCTGATGGCACTCCTTGGTCCTGTGGAACCAGTTTGTAGCCCTGGCCACCCCATGGATAGGTAGGAAGATTCATGCCGGGATCTGCATGGTTACAAGGCAAGAATGTCCAAAATTTCAACACATCTACAAACTTAGCCTGTCAGGGACACTGATGGTCTAAAAGTATGTATCACTGGCATGGTCATTTGGCTTCAATCTGGGGATGTCATGCAACACATCCAGGCCTTGGCTACCTCTACACACCTGGCCTTAAAAGACACCTTGCCTGGTCTCTCCCGCCTAAATAAACAAATAAAATTAATGAAGTACACTGCCCGCCAAAATCGGATGGCATTAGGCATTCTAACAAGAATACAAGAAGGTACTCATGCAATTATAAAAGCTAAATGTGGTGTGCACATTCCTGTTCATTCTGCTAATATCTCAATGGCTGTTCAAGACACTAAGTGACAGGTTAATGCTATGTCAGATTCTAAAATTTCCTGGACCTTCTCCATAGCCCTCTCTGTGAGAGGCTATTACTGGCTCTTCCTGGTAGAAACATTTTTTACTTATAATTATAATAGCCTTGTTGATATTATTATTTGGCCCATACATTCTTAACTGTTTCTTTGGTCTTGTCTTCTCCAGATTTAAACCTATATGCCTACCCAAGACAAGAATGGCCAGCATCTATCAAGGGTGATAGGTGCTCTAGAGAGTATCTCTGACTGCTGATCACAGCTATGACCCCCATTAGCCAAAAAGAGCCAAAATGGTCATTGCCCTTTGCCCCTTCATGGCAGTTAGGGATACCTCTTCAGAGAGGGGTAAGTTATAGATAGCCAACTTAGGTAAAAATATTATAGGCAGTCAGACAAGGACAGGCCTTTGAGCAAGTCAGTACAGAAGATAAAAACACATTACAACTGTGGCTAGAGGCACATCTGTTGAAGGTCAAGACTCTAGATAAAGATGGAATGACCAGCCCTATAAGCCTTCTCAAGAGATAAGCAATAACTTGAAGATTGTACTGTGACTGGTATCACATGGTCTGATGATGACGGGATAGACATCAGTCACCCAGGTGGGTGACCAGGACCTCCTGATCCATCCCTTCCTGAAAAGGTCCTTGTTCTTTCCATGTATTCTTGCTATGATACCTGCTTCCCCATTGGATCAATATTACCAAAGTGGCCATATTTGTGATCTTATTGGTTGATCATAGTTTTGTCTCACATTGTATCCACGTCATGATTTTGCTTTATAAGACTTCCTCTGTGAAGTGGAGTCCACAGCAACCCATTTTTGGGTCCCCTCCTATCTCTCAGAAGGTATCTCCCTCAATACGTATTTTCTACTCTTGCCATCTGTCGTTACTTAAAATTCACTCTTCAATTTTAGAGAACTCCAACTTGGCATACCTAACATCTAGCAGGTCGAGTGTTACATTTATTTCCCCTATATCAAAATCATGTATATAACACATACTGGGCACGCAGTTGGTGTAAAATAATAATTAAAAAAAAACCTGTTATTCTTTCTGGTAAACACACACACACACACACACAAATACACACCATACATCTTGAGAAATAACACAGAGCCCTTCTTTTCTACCATTAGCACTAAGGCACTGTTATTATTCTGGTTTGTGTTATCAAAATAACATTGAATGACTATGTGCCAAGACCAAGGCATCTCTGGATTTAGGCAGTTTAATTAATGTAGAAATCACTGAAAACTACAGATTCCCATCAAACACACATATGCTATCACACACGTACTCATAAAACCAGAAGATTAGATTTATATTTGCAATATAAAATATATCATCAATATTTTAAATACAAAAGTAGATGTAAGGCATCAATTTACTTTCAAGTGAAACAACTAAAAAAATGTTAGGGTATAGCAGTAATGATGTTAGAGGATTAAGAGAATGAAACAGAATTAAACAAGATAATGTAAGGAAAAGTACTTGGTGTATATAATAGATGCTTATTAAATATTAAGAGAGAGTAAAAGTAGCTCGGTTTCCAAACTGAAACACATTATATTTTAAGTTCCTGGTTTGTCTCCAATTACAGAAGAATGATTTTATAGCTTGCTCTGTAGTTAGGTTCAACTAGTAAATACAAGAATATAGTACTGTTCTTTCCTGTTAGTGTTTTTTTGGTACTCAGGACCTTGTGCTTGTGAGGTAGGCAGAGGAACCACTGAGCTAAATCCCTGGCATTTCCTGTTAGTTTTATCAGCAAACTTTCTCAAAACAGTTTAATAGTTTTTTTCCTAACAATTAATTTAATAAGAAGATCAACAATGCTTCTCATTAAAAATATTAAAACTCTAAAGCGAGTTTGTTACTTGATTACCACTATTCTACATCCCCAGCCCCTTATCTTTTAAAAAACATTCATCAATGTTAAATAAAAAGAGATTCAAAATGACACAATGAACATAACAGTTATGAAAACAGAGTATGGAGCAAAAGAGAGGTTTTTAAAAATGATCAGGTTTTGGGCCGGGGATGTAGTTCAGTGGTGCCGCCACCTGCCTCAAAAGCACAAGGAAACGGAGTTCAATCCCAGGTACCAAAAAAAAAAAGATCAGGTTTTTGCTGTTGTTGTGTTTTGAGACAGTCTCATGATGTAGCTCAGTTTGATCTTGAACTCACTCAGCGTCTCAAATTCACCAGGATTTTCCTGTCTTAGCCTCCTGAGTGTTGGAATTATAGGCGTGTGCCACCACCCCTGTCTTTAAACTATCGATTTTTAAAGTCAATGTTTAAAACATTCAAATAGTCCTATCACATATAGGATTCTGCTTGCACAAAGTACCTCGAATAATCAAATTCACAGAGACAAGAAATACGATGGTGGCAGCCAGGAGGGGCTGGGGCAGGTGGAAATGGGAAGGTGGGGTTTCAGGAGAATAGAGAGTTTCAGTTTGGAGAGGTGAAAAAGGTCTGGAGATGGATGGTGGTGATGGGCAAAAAATAATACACTGAGCCATGGGCCTAAAAATGGTTAACACGGTAAATGTTGTGTTCTCTGCATTGAGCCATAATTTAAAAGACTGGAAACACCACTGACAAGTCACATCTGATGTCTCACCGACGTAAGGCATCACTGGGAGCAGGAACCCTGGGGTACCCACAGGCGGCGTGCACCTACCCACGATCAGGGTGAGGCCCATGCTCAGGGAGCTCACCCAGGCGGTGAGGCCGCGGCTCTGGTGGAAGTCCTCCAGCCATTCCACGTTGAGCACGCCCAGGGCCATCTGGGAGCCCATGATGAGGATGTGCACGAAGAAGGAGGCGAGGACCACCATCCACGCCCACCCGCCATCGATGTCGGGGTGGGGCTTGAGGGTCTTCTTCTCCTTGGGGTCATCTTCAAAATCGAACCCAATGTCTTCATGACTTGTGTACATTTTCCAAGGTTTCCTGAAACACACAGAGCAAATCACTTCACCAAACAGCAAAGCCAAAGATTATCTTGTATCTTCTTTGGATCCATCCACCTCCCACCAGAAGAATCCAGGGTCATATTAGGCCTTCAGAATAACCCCTGTCCTATGCAGATTTGGGACCACTGCTTACCTTTTTCACGGGTCAAGAGCTCTGATAAAACCTGATTCATCTGGCCTTTACCCTGAGCTACATCCTTGGCCCTTAATTTTTTGTTAATGTGAGATAGAGTCTAAGTCACTAGGTCACCCAGGCTGGGCTTGAACCTGAGATCCTCCTGCCTCAGCCTCTCAAAGTGCTGGGATTACAGGTGTGTGCCACCACACTTAGCTCTGTTTCATTTGTTGTTGTTGTTTTTTACAATCACCCATATGTAAATATTATAATCTTGGAAATAGAAAAATAAACTTGGAGGAAAGAAGTAATTTTCCAAAGAAGGGAAGGAGGAAAGGAGTGGGGTGGAGCCTAGGCTGGGCTTGAGTTTGGGATACTCCTGCCTCAGTCTCCAAGAGTGCTGGGATTATAAAAGTGCGCCACCACACACACCTGGCTTCGTGTTTGTCTTTAAAAACTTTCTCCTACTTCTCCTTCCTTGAATACATACCCTCATTCCCACGGCAATGCTATGCTATTCCAGAATATCAGTGTTCTTTGGAGAATCTCTTGATTTTTAAAAATACCGACTGACCGGACAGAAGCAGACTGCGTTGTACCGCACCATCCCTACAGCCTGTGTCTGTGCGTGTCGAGCTAAGAATTCTTATCATTAGCCTTTCTCAAGGCTACAAGCCTGCAAGCCCTATCATACTTCCTGTCTGGCCCAGTCCAGGACAAGGAGGCTGGTCCCAGACTGATCTGCCTAAGGGCTGACTGGGTGCAGGGAAGGACATGAGAGCCCGGAACCAAGCGTGCCCGGCAGGAGCAGTGGAGGGGCCCGCCCTGGGCTCATCCGGGTACTTCCTCCCTTTCACACTGGTTCCTGGCAGGATTTTTGCCCTTTAGACCATTCTTTCTCCTCAGCAGCTGCGCACTTCTCAATCCCGGCTGCCTGTGCGCACACTGCTCTGGTCCGGGTTCTTTTCCCCCTTCCAGCACCCAGACTGCAGGGCATGGGAACTCCTCATCCGCCAGAGCACCTCCCCACCTCTTCAATCCCCCTCAACTCCTCTTCTCCCCTTATTTACAAAAGCTGTGTTTCCATGTTTTCTTTCTGTTTGCTCTTGTCCCTTCTCCCCAACCCCCACTCCCCTTCTCATTTGAACATTTTCTCCCCCTTTCCCAATATCTATTATACATCTCAGTCCTCATTTCCATTTTGGTTTCTCATACCAGAGAAACAACGTGGCATTCAAACACCTGTGTCCGACTTGTTTCACTTAGCAGAATGGTCTCCAGGTGCAACCGTTTAGCTAGAAATATCTCAGGCTCATCCTTCTTTATGGCAGAGTAATACTCCGTTGCATAAAAAAACCCCATCTTCTTTATCTGTTTATCAGTTGATGGGCATTTGGGCTGTTTCCAAGAGTGAGCTATTACAAACGGTGCTGCTATAAACAGGGAGTGCAACTATCACTGTGATGTGATGCTTCTAATTCTTCCGAGAAGCTGCCAAGAAGGGGACTAGCTGGGTCAAGTGGAACCTCTAGTTTTAGTTTTTAAGGAATCCCCACACTGATCTCCACCGTGGTTGTCCCAGTCTGCACTCCCGCCAACAGCGGAGAAGGGTTCCTTTTACCCACAGCCTCGCCAGCATTCATTATTCCCACCCCCCCTTCAATTTGTCCTAAGGATCAAGTCCAAGCTCCCACTCCTTCACTTGCTTCAGCCCCTGGGTTACTCCTACGCTCTGGCCGCTCCTGCGAGGCCTCCTGCTGTCCCCGCCTGATCTGTGCACCCCACAGTGCATCCTGCTCGAGCACCTGCGGCTCCCTGAACACCGCGCATGCGCACGGTCTCCTCCTGGTGTGTGACCTCCCCCTCCCTCGCCTGGGAACAGGCCGCCTCCCTGCTTGCCTTCTCCATTCTTTTTTGCCCACCCTTCAAGACTCAACTAAATTCCTAGAATGAAACTCAGAAATAGCAAAACAAAATTAGCACCCTGAGAACATGTCTAGCATGCAACATCAGAGCGCCGCACTTGTTAAATCACCCAATCACAATCGAGCTCCGTGAGGCACGTCTAGCATCAGAAACACCATGGCCTTGTGCTGTGCTGTAGCCAGCGTGGTCTGGAACCCGAGCCTGGCGCTGGCCCAGGGCCAAGTCACAACAGAACCAACCGAGAGGCTCCTTGAAGACTGGAAAGAAGTCAGGCTAAAGTGTGAACTCTAGAAAACCGGCATGTGCATTTCCCTTTGTTTCTGTTGTTCTTCAAAACACGTTATCTGTGGGAGAAACCACAGAATGAAAAGAGGAAAATGTTGATGGTCTCTCAGGGCATTTCTCCTTTCTTTTTACTTATTGGTTAAAAAAATCTAAACAAACATATATCATGAGAAAATAAAGGTTTCTAACTGTTAAATATCCAGATCAGCCCCCTGCCTACAGGTGAATCAGTGGTTAAAATAGAGGAAAAGCAGACAACCCAGGAGCCGCTTTTCTGGGGTGATCTTCCAATCTGCCTTGGGCTCTAAGCTTTTGCACACACGTGTTCGTGCATGTGGAGTGTGAGTGCACTTGCGCGTATGTGTGCCCCACGTCCTACTCATCTTTCTTCCTGCGCAGGGGCCCGCTTGGTGCCCAGAAGAAGGGTTCTCCGAGCCCACAGCCCGGGACGGAGGACTGGCTTGACAGTCCAAAGGGTGGCTGCTGGTGCGTGAGCTCTGTCTCTGCTCCTGACATGCAGTCCCCCAAGGAGCCAGAAAAGGAACCCGGCAGCTTGAGGTGGGTGTGACTGTCCCATCTCAGTAATGCTGGCATTTCACACTGGATCAGACACAGCTCAGCTGTATTTAGTATGATAACACAACAACGCTCAGCATTTATTTACAACTAGAAAAGGCTTTGTCATGGTTACAAAAATAAAGTTAGTTTTTCAACGCAGAGAAAAGTGCTTGAAATATTAAGCCCTTTTCTAAAGCAATGTTAAGAACTTTATAGTCTCGGTGAATTATTTATTTTATGGGTTCAGAGATGCAGTTACCATTGGACTGTTGTTGGCATTTCCAGTTTATTCATTTATAAATAAATGACACTGTATAACACTTAGTGCACACGATTTACTTAAGAGGCACAACCACTCATGCGTAAGACAGTGCTCAAGCAGGATAGGGTGAGGCAAAAGAAATCCTTTCAGATTCTCCTGAGGCTCTTTCAGATCTTCAGAGCAAGAGTGTCATTTGCATTTCACACTTAAATCTCTCCAAAAGTAATTACTACTTGACCAATCACAGTTACTTTATTGTCCAACTACATGAACTAAAATAAAAGACAACGGGACAATAAGTGTTCGATGCCCTCCATGGCTCATGTTGGATTTAGTTGTGATCGTAACAGTATTAACAGGACGGCCTTTTAGGAGGTGCTCAGGCCAAGTGGGCTTTGCCTTCATGAAAGGGTTAAGGTCATTCTCACTGGAGCAGGTTAGTTACCTCAGGAGTGGGTTTCTGATCAAAAGGGTGGGCTTGGCCTGACTTCTCTCTTTGTGGCATGCTTTGCTTGCCCTCCCACCAAGTCATGATGCAGGAAAGAGACCTTCACCAAAGGCAGCCCTGGACCTTGTGTTTCCCAGCTTCCAGAACCATCAGCCACATGCAGTTCTATTGCTCAAGACGGACCCAGTTGGTGTATTCCAAGACTGCAGCAGACAAGAAAGACAACGCCCTACCCGCAACTTGGCCTTTAGCCCTTTTTGCATTTATGTAATTAGGAGATACAAAATCACAATTTTTAATATGCTAACAACACCCGGACTGCCCACCACAGTATTCACATCTTTCCCTACCATCTTTCCCCACCACATGGTGCCCAAGCAGTTCTTTGGCACTGGGGTAAATGGAGGCAGTGGGTGTGAGTGTGGGGCTTCTGCTAAGGGTGTGCTATTGGAAACCAGATGTGACAAAGGGCCTTGCCCTGGAGGGGGTGAAGGAAGGAAGAAATGGGAAGCACTATGGACCCACACGGTCAACCTTCCATTCTCCCCAACGGGACTTTGTAAACCACGACAAAGAAATCATAAATAGTGGGGTGGGATGGGAGAACCAAGGAATTCTTATAGGGTATGAAATGTGTCAGCCATATACGTACACAGCAACAGGCAGAAGTGAGGGTGAGTGTATCATAGTAAAACGAAGCTAAATTATCTATAGCTCTGTTATGGGAAGAAGTTTTACAAGCTCATCCATCTTTTGGATTTTTATTTATTTATTTATTTTTTTCCTTCAGTACTGGGGATTGAACCAGGGATTTCTGTGTCTCTTGCATGTAGGTAAGTGCTCCCTTACTGAACCATAACTCCAGCTCTTCTTAATTTTAATGTTAAAGCAGGATCTAGCTAAATTGCTCAGGCTGGCCTTGAACTTGTGATCCTTCTGCCTCAGCCTCTGGAGTAGCTGGGGTTACAGGTGTGTACACCAGACTAAATCTATTATTATTATTATTATTGATTTGGCAATTGTCATGTGACATATGGTGAGCTCATTATTAGGAAAAGCAAGTTAACTAATTGAAACAGAAATGGCAATTTTCCCAAATGGTGGACAAGGCACACTGGCAACAGGACCTCCACCGGGTGAAGGGTGTGGGGGGATCGTCTTCAGTTTGGCTCTCTGTGGCCGCTTCTGTCCTCTACACCGGGAATTTCGAAGGCCACGGCGCTGTAGCTGAGAAGGCGGGTGAGCTGCGCTAGGCTAATGCAGACAGCACAGGAGAAGTCTAAACAGGCTTCAAACTAAATTGAGGGAACGGAGCCTACAAGTCTCTCCTGTAAGTCAGGACCGTGTCGGGTGACTTCTCCACAACCATCTGGTCCCAC